CTCTCTCTCTCTCTCTCTCTCTCTCTCTCTCTCTCTCTCTCTCTCTCTTGCTCGCTCCCTCTTTTTCTTTCCATGTCTGATTCTACCTGCTTGCCTTCCCTCTCGCCGAACTTCTGCCTTATCCTCTTTTCGCCCCCCCCCTCTCTCTCTTCCCCAATCGCCGACTCTTTCCAAGCTCTTTCGTTTTTGCCTTGCTTGGCATAGCAACAACAAATTATCCTATTTGGAAGATGTAGAGACGGACCACCTTTACTATTGCTCACCTTCACACCTTCCCATTATCCTCATTTCTCTCCTCCCACTTCTCCCACTTCCTCCCCTCCTTCTTCTCCAGTCCCCCCCCCTACCTCGACTTCCCCTTCTCCATCTCTTCCCCTGCCTCCTCCTCCCGCTTCACTTCTTCCCCCGTCTACTCCTCTCCTCTTCCTCCTCCTTCCTTCTCCTTCTCCACCTTCTCATCCTCCTCCTCCTCCTCCTCCTCTAACTTCCCTTCCTCCTCATTGTGAAGAGCATGTATTTAATTTACCCGCCCCCTCCAACACTGTATTCTTGAACCATTAGCCATGGTCATTACATCTCGACAGGTGAACGACAGCCTTATCCCGTCTGCATGCTACTGCCAGGCCTATTTTTTCTCCTTGTTTACCTAACCTTCAATACCAACCCGGCGTCCACGGCTGGCGATTGACTCCGTCTCGAAATTTGTTTAGTGAACGCCTGGCGTCTTGATTCCCCGCAACCTTTCTGCTTGGTAGGAGATTTAACTCAATTGAACTCAACTGCGTTGAGACAGTTCTCTTCACTTAAAGCGTTGGGAAGCAAAGTCTTCTATCAGAGACTGCTGTCGATGTTTTTCCTTTTAAATGTGATGCGTGTCAAACTAATTAGCGAGGACGGGACGTCGTGTTGAGGACGAAACTGGATTGAGACATACAATTGGTTTGGGACCCTGGGTTGGGGTGGGGTAGGGAGGAGGTGACAGGAAGTTTGGAGTTCAAAAAGGACCTGAAAGAAAGTAGGTTAGTTAAGTTGGTGTGCATGTGAAAGCACTCGTGAAAAATGCTATTGGGCATGTGTTCGACTTTGAGTTTTCGACTCGAATAAGTTATTTTGAAAGAGTATCTGAACATTGTGGGCCTTCATGGGTCTATGTATGGCTATGACAGCAGGCCCTTGGTCCAAAGATCGGCAGGGAAAGGAGTTGGTAAAAAAGTACAGAGAAAAGAATGCTACGTATTATTCATAATAATAGTGGACAGCATTTGTATAGCGCAAATTCCCGCTCAACGACAAGCTTATACGCTTCACAATATATTATTACCGCAGCAAACCTGATAGCATCCTGAAACAATCTTAACTTCCTGAAAAGCATACAGTGCAAGCTGCATTTTTATAGGCGCTAGAACACTAACATACTGACAAGATCTTTCACTGAATATGGCATGCCCGGGTACCCATTCCCACCTGGGTGAAGTAAGAAAAATTCGTGCTAAGTGCCGTTCCCAAGGACACAACGTCGGGCCTGGGGCTTGAGCCCCGAACCCGCAACCTCACGTGTTATTAGTTTGCTAGCCTAACCACTAGACTACCGACGCTACCATATTAGAGTATTTGTGACGTCTATGTGTCATCCCATAGGCGGTCAGTTTGGAATGTTGTGGTTAGACGTTTCATTGTTGAGCAAAAAAGACCTGGTTGGATTTCTTACTCTGTGGGGAAAAACTTTTAACAAATATCTTGGTCCTTTTAATGGGACGTCGCTTTCTTTTCAGCCGGTGTTTGACCTGACAGGCACAGTGTAAATCCCACTTGCACATGATCAAATTGTGTCGTTGATTGTGTAAAAACTCGCACTTTAAAAAAAAAATCCACACAAACACACAACAAGAACCATGCCCCCCCCCCCACACTCTCCCCCAAGAAAAAAGAAAAACAGGCTGTCCGAGTTGCCACTGGGTTATGGAATGAATATGTGTGTGTGTGTGTGTGTGTGTGTGTGTGTGTGTGTGTGTGTGTGTGTGTGTGTATGTGTGTGTGAGTGTGTGTATGTGTGTATGTGTGTGTGTGTGTGTGTGTGTGTGTTGTTTTTTGTAAGTGTTTTACGGCGCTATCAACTGCATAAGGTCATGTAAGCGCGTAGGACACTTTAAACATTTTCAGTTGGTAGGACATTTTGAATTTTGCTCGGGTGACGGCCGAAGCCTACTCTTATCGATTTTAGGACCACCAAGGGTATTTAACGTGCGCAGCTTGTACACGGGACCTCCAAGATTTTTCATCCTTATCCGAGAAGACTAAATGTTAGATCTTACCTACTCTAAGATCAGGAGTGTGGCTGAAAGACAGTAGTAAGAAAGAGCCAAGGAGTAGAAAGTAGAAAGGTTGCAGAAAGAGTAGGGGGAAGGGGGGGGGGCAGAAAGTGGAGACGGAAGCAGACGACAGAACACGAATGTGTGTATGTGTGTATGTGTGTATGTTTGTATGTGTGTATGTGTGTGCATGTGTATTTGTACGTAGGCCTATGTGTTTGCGTCTGTTTGTATAATATATATATATATTTTTTTTACATGTGTGTGTGTGTATGTGTGTTTGTGTGTGTGTGTGTGTGTGTGTGTGTGTGTGTGTGTGTGTGTGTGTGTGTGTGCGTGTGTGTGTGTATACACTGTATGTGTATAGTTGTGAGTTTATGCTTGTGATTAGGTTTGTGCATGGACTCACTACCCCCATCAAAGTAAACTGAGCATTTTCCCCTCACGAAGACCCACGAAGCAGAAATAGACCAAACTACCTTTCAATTAACGGACTGATTATTTCTAACTTAAAAGACAGTTTTGATACTAACGGCTGAATTGTGATCTGTAAATGTGTTATCCCCCCCCTCCCCAAAGACTCAATTGAGATAATTTGGGAGTCGTGCTGCCTCTATTCTACCTGCCAATGCCAACTCAGACACGAATCTCAGCGGGATACATCATCCCAGCTGAAATATGGGTTTATGCGAAAAGCTAAACTTCAAGGCGAAGGACGTGAACACCGGGTGCTTTAATTTTTAAAAATTTAAAACTATTTTAGAAATACAAAACGCCAAACTGTTACACAACAGATGCTGATATAATAAATTAACTTTAGGAAATATACAGACTCAGCAGCACGCCAAGGTGTATTATTCAAACTGTGAGGGTTAGTCCAGCGTTTGATGATACTGCTAAACTTTTACTCTTTTGAGGTTTTCACAGGCACTGTATACATGCATCTTTTAGCACTGCTTTTGTTGTCTGCATCAAATGCTTGGATCAAATTCTTCTAGGAATGCATTTTCTCTTTTCTCCTAAATGTGGTTGGTTCTTTTAAGAATGGATGGAACTTTGAGGTAGCCTACTTATGTTTTAGTTTTTTTTCTTCCCAAGTGCTTCCTAAGATGAGAGTCCCATCAGACACAATGGTATTGTCTTTAAGCACCGAGATTGTTACTTTAAACATCGACTGCAGCATGTTATCGTTACCAGATGTTGAGATTTATTAAGCTCAAAAGTTTGAATTTTTTAGTTGTAGTTTCTCAATCTGTGGTATCGGTTGTATATTATACTCGAGAAATATTTGGTCCATATTGAGATTCTAAATATTGGGAAAAAGCAAGGAAATATACAAAAGGTTGGTGCAATTTGTAGAAAAATCAAAACAGTTCTCTTTACAGAAAAAAATCCTTTCTAGGGTTAGTACACCTGAGTAGCCGGTCAACCTTATGCTTAAATTGAAACAAACTGCGTCAATAAATAGTCACTGAGATCAACGAAAACCCCCCCAGCATAGTAAGCAACAATATTGCTTACTTGAAACCTCGAATAAGGTAAAATAATAACAGGGAGGATATGAAATAGAAGTGGAAATTACCTGCTTCGACCTATTTCTTCTTTACTCTCTAATTTCTCCTTTTTATACGTGTCACGCAGGATTTTAACGAGCAAGAAGCACTGACCAGTCCCAAGCTCCACGTCAGGATGGTCAACAGTGCCTCTTATGGATGTCTGCTCGCTTGGATTATGATCATGGCGTTCGTTTCTGTCTCAGGTAGGTGCGTACCACCTTAACCCCTTCAATGAGACTGACTTCTGCTTGCTGGTAGCAGTGGAACAGCAGGGCAGGCCTGAAAGGAAAAAGGTTACTTTAGGTGACCAGTATGACTTTAGCTGTTTAGGAACTTCATCGACCTCGCTGAAGTTCGAGGTTCGAAATCGTATGGGGATTGAACTATTTATTATCGTCCCTGGTCGAGTATATCCCCTTCTTCTCTTTGTATGTTACACTCTAGTAACACCTCTGATCTTTGGCATTTACAGGTTATGAAAGGATGAACATGTTTTCCGTCTGTCTGTCTGTCTGTCTGTCTGTCTGTCTGTCTGTCTGTCTGTCTGTCTGTC